ATTGTTGAAGAGGTTATGATTGTTGTGATCAGGAAATTTACAAGTGTAAATAGTCTACAAGAAGGACAATTATGAATTCAAAATCATAGAGTGGGCAATAGACTACCTTTTCCACTAAGTTATAGCAGTTGACAATCTACAGTTATTAAAGAACAGTAATACATTCGGAACAGATATGGCATTAAATAAAGTCAATATATTTTGCAATTAATTTATTATAACTATATATTTCCCAAATTTCCTTATATAGTTAGTTAAAAGTATAAATACATCTTAATCTAGAACTGGTTGTCAAGCAATGTTCTAAAGAAAATATCAAAAGTGTATAAAGGAAGTGAATAAATATGAAGTAGCATGATGACTATATGATTACTGTTCACTCTTTTTGTCTATCTGCAATTGTTATAACTTCACTCTCTCTACCACTATATGGATTCCAATTCTCTTCTGATCATTATACTATTTGTCAATTACTAGTTGAACAAGTATCACTAGTGCAGATATTATTGGAAGGCATTACTACTAGTAACAGCAACTAAGAAGTCCCAAATATGATGAGCATTTTTGGAAGCTTTCGCCCAACCATATGGTGAAGGTTTTTATGCAAGGACACCAAGATAGGTCAGATGGTCAAGTGCGGAAGTTTCACTGGGAAATATGATATTTTAGGTGCAATAAACTTGGGAACATGTCATCAGAGTGCCAGGAAAATGCCCAAGGAGAGGAGGCATCAGCACCAGTCTTCTCTCCTTGAGCAAGTGAAAACCAAAAAATTGTCCACCGTAAAAATATTCGTGGATGGGTAAGAGTCCACAGCTTTAGTAGATTCTGGGTGCTCACCGATGATGGTGAGCAATGCTGTGTGTCACTTTTGGAGACAAAAAGAAGTGGATGTGCTCACAGCCAACGGGAAGACTTTGAAGTTCTGGCGGTACAACAAAATCAGGTTGAGAGTTGGGCAGGTTCAGACCGTAAGTGTTGAGGTCTTAGTTGTGGATGAACGATTATTGGGTTTTGACCTACTTCTTGGGATTAATGCAATCAAAGAGCTAGGAAGCAGGTCCACCAAATGATGGCTCCAACATCAGCAGTCTACCAGTGGATGCCAACACAATCAGTGAATCTCCAGATGACAGTCCACCTTAAGAAGAAGGCTGTGTTGTTCCACTTCAAAAGAGCACCTGCCAGAAGAGACCTGCCCCTGGGTGCACTATTTGTGATGATGAGATCAGGAGGAGTGTGGTGGAGACATACCTTGCTGAAGCAAGAGAAAGTGAATTGTCTGTACATATGGTTGCAGACATCACAGACCTGTGAAGCGAGTTCGGCAAATCAAATTTGAAGTGACATAGTGCATGTGTTATCGACAAAAACAAGGCTAACACAAGCAAGAGATCTCGGTTTCTTGCCCGAGACTGAGGAAGGATAAAAAGAGCTGACTGTTTGTTACAGGGGCAGTTTGTTATTTGAGACTGGTAAGGTTATAGCCATGTTCCAGAGAAAGAGCGATAGTACTGTTGCTTATGATGTGCAGGAAACAGTCCCGAGAAAAGCGTTGTTGCAGCTTCCACATTAGCTGTCAGTGGGAACAGATTCAAGTGGAAATTTATTTTCCTACCACCCAATTTTCATTTAAACTTCACATTGGCATAATACGAAGTGACTTCTCCCTTTTATCACATGCAACCTTGAAATACTTGTAACTAAAATACATACACAAGCACCAGTAGACAAAAAAACTAAATTGTATGATTTTAATTTACAATTTAACATGTTTTTGGTAATATTTCAGATGTATGCTTTTTACCTCATGTGAACACCAGGCTATTTTTGCTGGTATGATCTGAGTGAACCTACATCAGTTGGTGACCACTGATGTGTATAAAAAAAAAAAAAAAATCTTATTCATCACATCAAAATGTACAAAAGACATACTATTCACCTACATCATTTGGTGACCACTGATGTGAATAAAAACCCTCATATTCACTACACCATTTGGAAAAACCAACATTCAAAAGAAATGAACCACACTTTTGATGATAATGACACCAAAAAATAAAAATCATCACTTTGAGATACCCAACATAAAAAGAAAACCATACTACGTGGTGACCACAAAAACTATAACTATCATCTACACTGCTGATAACTCAATAGCGAAGGAGGAGATATTCCACCTTACCTAAAAGGTGACTTAAGCAGCAACAACCTTCGGCATCTAGCTCATAAAAAAAACAAGTGAAAGAGCAGATCAAATCAAATAAGCATTTCTCTTTTATCCACTACATCCCTACATACTCTCAACATGGAGCAAGACAACATACTAACTTCAGTTTCCTTTAAAATTCCAGAATTTATACAAACAACTTCAAATGGCTGGTTCACAATAGATGAAATGTTTGCTAATCTCATACCCACCCCCAACAAATGGAATAATATAGCACCAAAATAGAAGACTAAAAATTGCTATAATGTCTAGAAAACAAAAAATGGATAAATGCTCTGCCAGTATTTTTGGAATGAGAAATGTACTCAATGAAGACAGTATTTCACCTGCCATTGCTGTCACTGGAACCCAGTTATTACTTCCAAAACCACTAATAAAACATAACAGTTTCACTGTTACAAAAAAAAAAAGATACAATTTTCTGAAGAAATGATTAATCTGAATATATTACTCCTTTATGAAGGATGTTACACTCAGCTAAGCAATCCTCCTTACTCTGGACACTATACCAGATAGGAAAAACACTTTATAACAGAAAATTTCCCAGGAAAACACCTCACAGTCTCTACTGAGAAATTAAAACCAGTGACACTACAAAACCACAGCAAGAAACATGTTAAACAATCAACCTGTTGAACACTAAAAACAACCATTATCAAAAACCAAAACTACACATTGTGGGAGGAGAGTTCATTTCTCTAAAAACTATGACAATTTCTATTTTAAATAGACATCCATCACTACCAATTAGCTCTGCTAATTTGGTGGGGATGTGATTTAGGAACATTATTATTATTATTAATAAACAAAAATATAAAATAATAATAATGATAAATATCATAAATAAAATAAAACAACTTTAAAACTTTGTTTAAAATAAATTAAATAAACCCTTAAAAAAGAAAAAGATGCTGAATACAATCTCTTTGCTAGTGACCATTGAAAAGTCAAGATGTCCAATGCCTCTTTCCAAGGCATTGTTTGTTATATGAAGTGACTTCTTCCTTTTATCACATGCAAACTTAAAAAAACTAAAATACACACACACCAGTGCATAAAAAAATAAAACTGTATGATTTTAATTTACAATTTAACATGCCTTTAGTGTTATTTCTGTGTATGTGAACACCAGGCTATTTCTGCTGCTATGATGCAAGTGACCGCACAAAAGTGATTTTGTTTAAAACCTGACTGTTTTGTGGAATTTTCTGCTGCTCCTTATCATTAATTATAGAGATAACCCCAACCTTTTGTTTTCAAGGGTTTAGAATCTAACTTTTAAACTCAAGCCATTGATACAGAGGCTAAATAATTAAAATATGACAATGATCGTTATCTCAATAATAGTTCAGGATAAATTATAAGCATTTCTCAGGAACATAGAAGAGCATCACAAATTCAAACAAAGATTAAATTTGTAATAACTAGATTTTCCTGTTTATGCACATCAGTATGCCAATCTACTTTCTGTCTAATAGGTAGGAATTAAAAATCAAAATTTAAGGCCAATACTTTTTGATGTTAGGATAATCTATTCATTTTAGTTTCTTTAATGAATATTTAGAAGAAATTTAATTATTATAAATTTACAAATTGAATTTTTAAATTATTTTTATTGACTTTTTTTAAGATACTGCATTTTTCTTCCGAAACATGCACTATTTACATTATTGAACTGTTTTCATCTTTGTCGCCATGTTATCTGGCATTCAGCAGTTGTAGCTCTCTGGCCTTCTTCAGGTGGTTGGAATGAACTGAACCCTTTATTTCACTCATTAGCAGACTGTTTCTATTCATGTGCCAGATGTCATTATCCAAGGACACAGTGGATAAAGTCATTGGTTATCCAGAAAGGACAGAACTCTAAAGAGTGTGTGAGTTCAATATCTGGTTAAGGCAGTGGAGAACTTTCAGAGGGGAATTAACAGGAGATAACTGACATCCATTAGACATGGAATGTGGAACTAGAACAGCCTACCCCCATAAATAGTGTACATAATAGCTCATCTCAGAAATATAGATAGATACTGAACGGCCGAAACGTTGTGATAAATATGGTGACAAAGATGAGGACAATAGTCCGAATAATGTGAATAGTTTACATAATAGCTCATCTCAGAAATATAGATAGATACTGAACGGCCAAAACGTTGTGATAAACATGACAAAAAAGATGAGGACTATAGTCTGAATAATGTAAATAGTGTACATAATACCTCATCTCAGAAATATAGAGAAAAACATGACACATAATTGTAAAAATCAATAATAGTAACTGCATTGTATTTTTTTATATGTACGTACATTGGCATCAGAGTGTATTTATGGTGATAGAACTGGGTTGTAATTATAAAGTTATACCTGTTTACTTTGGATATTAGGATGTATTTATAGTGATATTTACTGGTGTATATGCAAATTAGTGTGCATGATAGCACTGACAGAAGAATGACCCTAAATAGCCTTTATATTCATTAGTTTATTTCATTGTTTTGTTTTTCATATCCCATGAGTTTTAATTTTAATTGTATTGAAAATAACAAAAGGGCCACCAATGAGATTTGAATTCACATCCGATATTCGTTCAAGTATATTGGAATGTAAGTCATTGAATGTCGCTTTGTCTAAGCATTGTAATAAAACAATCAGATTTAAAATAAATGTCTAAAATTATCATTGTAAATACTTCTTCTAAATAATTCTGTAAACTTTTAAAAAAATCTCTGTATCGTTCAGAATGTCCAAAATAAGGTGACTTACAGCTATATGACATTGAAACACTGGTTTCTGTACGATCATCATAGTTAAACAACATTGAGCATGGCTAGTACTTAGATGGGTGACTGCTTGGGAATACCAGGTACTGTAAACTTGGATGTGAGGGTGGTATAATGAAATGGATGGGGAATTGTCAATCAGGATACCAGTTCCAATTCTGGTTTGCTTTTTTATAAGGTTTTATGCAAATATCATCATGGATATGAATCAAGTCTTCTCCCCAATTATGCGTTAATGAGTAAGACTTTGTAAACTAAAAACCTGCGTATAGTATAAAGAAAAAATAGAATTGCATACAAAATAAGAGATTCGACATTAAATAACCCATAGAGGTGTTGAGAAGCTATTTAAACAAAGTCAACAGAACAAAATTGGAAAATATATGATATTGTTGCGTGGTGGTCTCTGAGAATATTCAGTTATGCAAATATTTAATAATATCAACCTTAACAACCAAATGAGGATAATTTTTCATAAGATATTTATTTCTTTGTTTTTCCTTGGAATTACATTTTAACCTTTCTTTGAAAATTGTTTTTTCTGTTTTGACTTAATTTGTGAGTTTCCTCTCGTTTGTTGATTTCATTCTTTGTTGCAAATTGAATTAAATTTTCAAAATAACTAAAGCAAAAAATAGAAATTTAAATCTGAGAATTTCAAATGAAAAAGTGAAAATTTCCAGACATTAAACAGAAAAAATGTTTTTCTTTCTTTTAAATATCACTAAGAATAATGGCAGAGTTTGTCGTTAGTTAAGCAAGTCTTAAATATAAAAAGAAACCATTTTTATATTTGGAAATTTTGGATGAAGTGATATTAAAAAGAACAAAACATAAAAACTGGCATTAAGCTCAATTTATATTTAGATCATATCCTGAGGTTCTTTTCTTTTGTTTTAAATTTAATCATTTCACCCCAAGCAAGGTGGGAATGCCACTATTATGCAAGAGGAAAGACTGAGTATAGGGAAGATTGAGGAAAGGGCAAAAATGAATGGTATTCAAGAAGACAGAAGATGGTGATTGACATTGCATTTAAATTTTTGAAGATGTAAAATCAGGGAACCAACAAAAAGCATTTTTTAATCATTTTGACCATGTTAAGGTGTGAAATACAAACTAGTATGCAAGAGGTTACAGGGACTGAATGAAGAGAAGAACATTAGATGATTAGTATAGTATGAAAATAACAGAATTCAAGAAGATTTAAAGATAGTGATTGACGTTGCAATATTTTTGAAGAAACTTGGTGAAAGACAAATTGGTTTTATTTTGAATCAATAAGGTAGTAGCACGCTGAAATTTAAGATGGTCGGGAGAGAAAAAAGCTCAACAGAGAAGTCAGTTGAAAATATTTGTACAAAAGACAGATCAAATCAAATCTATTAGAAAGTGACTGAAGTTGAGATACTAAGTAAGGATTGATTATATTGAAGATCATTCTTTGGATTTTGTCAAAACCCTCGAGATGAAGAGCAGGAGAACCAGACGAGATATGGCAACAGTATTCAATGCACTGACAAATGGATAGAATTGTAAATGTGCAAGATGGACCCTGAAGAGAAAAACCTTCTGGCACAACACAGTGACGCAATATTCCTTGCAGTAGATGGAGCTATTGATTAAATGTAATGTCTACTAAAAATCAGTTGGAAAATGAGAGGCCAAGAAGGCACAGTGTGACACTCTCTAGGAGTCAAGCATCTGCCATGCTAATGGCAGGCAAGGAAATTTGTCTATGGTGGTTAAATTATTTAAATAAATATATATATATATATATATATATAATATATAATATATATTATATATATATATATATATATATATATATATATATATATATATATATACATAATATTTATATATATAAATATATATATATATATATATATAATATATATATATATATATATATATATATATATATACATATATATATAATCCACATATATATATATATATATATATATAATATAAATATCAATATATTTTATGATTATATATATAAAAATGTGATATATGTTTATATATAATATATATATATTCACATATCCCATATATATATATATATTAGCATCCTTATATAATATATATATCAATTATATATATAATATATAGGAAATATTTATATATATATCTATATATATATAAAAGGATTGATATTATATAACAATATATATTTTCTTTATACGAAATATATATATAATATATATATAGCTTTTGAAGGCATCTATAATATATCCAATACACCTTCGATTTCCATATCACATTTCTTCTCCATCGTATATAAATATATTCCCAGATAATTATATTATGCATATATATATTTCCTATATCTCTAATCAGTATGAGACTTCTTCCGTCGCTTTAAATTTTCGAATCTAAGTTTTTTTTGTCAAAATTTTTGCGAAATAATTATCAACGTGGAAGCCATTTTTTCTAATAAGGCCATATACACTGATTTCTAAAGGAATAAAATGATAGATGGGGACCACTGGAAATTAAAATGGTTTCTCTGTTTATTTCTGGCACCACTGAAAAAATCTGGACATACAGTGGGGGAAATAAATATTCGTGAACTGAAAAATTGTATTTTATAAATGTAAAAGCATTAAATAAAACAAATCTCGGCACATTTTATGTATAAAAGACATGCTATTAAAAAAAAAATACTAAACTCATTAATTCTATCAGAAATTAATGCATTTTTTTAATTCTAACTGGTGAAAAAAAGTATTTGTACAAATCAATTATTAGAATAAAATAATCAATTAATTATGAAAAAAATTATATTCTAGAATATTCCAGTAATGTTATCAGTAATTATAATTAACGCTATTAGCCATTATCAGAGCATTCTGAAATTTCTAGTCTTACGAGAAGGTTCTAATAAGGCCTAAAGGTAAAGAATTGACTATTTTACAAAAAACAACACATTTTTGTCTCTTTTTGGAAAGATGGGAACAATTACAGAACAGTTTACTAACAACATGAATATTCTTTTACTACAATTGTTTCATTCATTGCAATGTTTAAAACTCGTAACAGCGTCGAAAACCAAAGACGAACAGGTATTCTGAGGAAGATTTTCTAAGATCAGCAAAGGATATTAGGATGCCAGATCCAACAAAATCCACAGGTTACCCGAGAAGAACTGCAGGAACATCTGCGTGCATTAGGGATTAAAAGTAACTAAGCATACAATAAGTAATGAACTACACAAAAACAGTCTGAAATCACGCATCCCAAGGAAGACTCCATCCTCTTGAAACGACACAGAGATGCTAGGCTAAAATTGTTAGAGAGCATAAGGATAAAGAATATTCGTTTGGGGAAAAGTACTATGGACAGATGAAATTAAATAGAGTTGGTCATAATTATCAAAATCTTTTGTGGAGGAAGGACTGTGAAGCCTACTTACCAAAGAACACGTTGCCAACTGTAAAGTTTGGTGGTGGCAGTATCATGATTTGGGGCTGTTTTTCTGCAAAAAAAATTTGCTAGAATATCAATAATAGATGGCAAGATGAATGCCGAAAGATACCAGAAAATCCTGCAAGACAATTTAATGCATTCTGTTGAGAGACTTCAGTTCTCTCCTAATTGGGTTTTCCAACTGGATAATGATCCTAAGCATACCGCTAGATCTACAAGGAAATGGTTAGCTGAAAGTAACGTTGATGTCTTGCAATGGCCAAGTCAGTCCCCAGACTTGAACCCAATCAAGTATTTATGGCAATATTTGAAAATTCAAATTGGGAAAAGAGCACCAACAAAAAATCAAGAATTTGAAGACAATATGCCAAGAAGAATAGGACAAAATACCACTCAATGTGTGCCAATCATTAGTTGAGACGTACAGGAAGAGACTGGTAGTGGTTGAACTCAATAAAGGATATTCCACAAAGTATTAATTGAATACTTTTTTCATCAGTTAAAATGAAAAGAATGCATTAATTTCTGTTAGAATAAGAATTAATTAAGTTTATTACTATTTTTTAATAAAATGTCTCTTTACACATAAAATGTATCAAAATTTGTTTTATTTAAGGCTTTTACATTTAGAAAAAAATACAATTTTTCATGTGTACGAATATTTATTTCCCCCCACTGTATAACTTATATATTATATATATATATTTTTTATGTATATAATAATTAATATTTAATAAATATTTTTAATACTGATTCCTATTAGTACGCAAATCATTTCTACCTTGTTTGGTTAACCAACCTCTCTATTTTACATATTTAAGAAGCAATCTCTTTTATTCCTTTTAATAAATATATATATATATATATATATATATTTATATATAATTATATATAATTTTAATTTAAAGAAAAAATTGACTTAGTGTGTAAAGTTTTCGTTGTTATAATTTATTTCACAAGAGATTTTGTTTTTTTCAAATATATTCTTACTTCACTTTCTCTGGGTGAAAAAATGAATTTAAAATGTACAATTTTTTATAACCCTGTCATCGCTTTTTAATGAAACATTATAAATAGAGATTGTTAAAGTGACAAAATACATATATATGTCAAATATATATATAGAGAGAGAGAGAGATTTTTGTAGTTTAAGCGATTCTTTTTTTTAGAAATATTTCTTTCTCTTGATGATGGCCATATATTTTATTAAGAAACTAGTTGAGGAATCTAGACGTGAAATAATAAATAAAAAACGAAAGAATATTAATCTACTACCCAGTGTGTCTAAAGATTTTAATTTTTAATATTTTTTTATTGTTCAAAAATATATATTATAAAAAAATCAAGATTAAAATATTTAAAGGTAATTTTATCTTCGACCCATTTGATAAAAATCACCTGAACTACCAACAAGGTTGAAACCAAGTATTCGGGAAAAAAACTGATCTACTGAATTTTAAAGTTAAAAGCTCTACATGTTATTTTTACTTTTATTTATTTTTTCACATATTAATAACACTGTTTGCTGGTCTGATTCAACTCTGACCATTAACCTTTTATGTATTTTATATATATATATATATATATATATATATATATATATATGTGTGTGTGCAAATGAGGTATCTGATATCACAAATTCATCAAATTTGATGTT